TGTATTTCATGTCAGTTCTTTATGGAATAACAATGTTCTCAGCACTACAAAAACTTTCTGTGATACCTGAAATAATGTGAAATTTTCATTTTTTTCCTGGCTCTCATAAGAGTCGACTTTTAAAATAGGACATAGAAAATCCTCTTTATTTAACTGAAGAATGATTAATTTATGAAACACTATTTCACTAGGGCCCAAAGACTTATTGAAATTATACAGTGGAACATCAGAGGCTGGGAGATAGAACCTCTTAGAAATTAAAAGCAAATGTTTTGCTTTTATGGATGAGAGAGATGATTATTCCCTTTGTGTGTTGCTTCCATCAAATGGTTTATTTCTTTGGGTTATTCTGACATCTTATAAGCTTAGTTTTTATTAAGGGTTTTTCTTAGTTAACATTCGGCTTAGTAATGTGCTTATCTTTAGTGTTGATAGAATTAGTAGATTTTTCATCTACTTGTTAACTAGGAAGGTGAGTATGGTGTGCAGCTGTAGCTCATCAAGGGTTCTTGACTTTCCTTAGCCTTGGAGGAGGCACCTTTCTCGGGCTGTGTAGCTTATTGACTGGCTGCGGAAGCTTTGAAGAGGCTCTTGAAATGGCATCCAAAGGGGACAGCACACAAGCAGACAAACTTGTCCGCGATATTTATGGAGGAGACTATGAAAGATTTGGTCTGCCAGGTTGGGCTGTGGCATCTAGGTAAGTTGGACATTATGTTCTAAAGGAGAGAGCAGTATCTTGCGATTGTCAAAGGACTTCCTTACTCTTAAAAACCAAAACTCGGGGAGGGGGAAGGGGGAGAAAGGGAGCCCATCACAAGATTGGATATATAAACCCTCCCCAAAGGGACGAATAGCAGAAATGTGGGTGAAGGGAGACAACGGACAATTAAAATAACACTATATAATTGATTGAGGATTCATGAGGGTGGGGGAGGAAGTGGAAAAAAGAGGAGCTTATACCAAGGGCTCCTGTAGAAATAGTTTTGGAAATTACTATGGCAACATATGTACAAATATGCTTGATACAATTAATGTATGGAATGCTGTAAGAGCCCCCAATAAAATGATTTAAAAAATAAAAAACTTCAACAGCAACAAAAAAACCCCACTGCCATCAAATCAAGTCAATACTGATTCATAGAGACCCTATAGGACCCTATAGGACAGGGTAAGGCTCCCCTGTGAGTTTCTGAGACTGAATCTGTCTGCCGGAGTAGAAAGTGCCTCTTTCTCCTGAGGAGCAGGAGGAAGTTGGTGGTTTTGAACTGCTGGGTTGTGGTTAGCAGCCCATGACACCACCAGGGCTCCTCCGTTGTCTCAGTTGAGGTGATCCTGCCACCGTGCCGTAGAACTGACTGCCTCTGGGTCTCCGAGAGAGAGACTGTAACTCCAACTGCCAGTCTGTACACCAGCGTGGAGGGGCCTCCGTGGTGCCTCCAGCGTGTTCTAGGTAGGTCATAAGTGTGACTAGGAAAATGAATTTATTGTTAAAAGCTCAGCTGTCTTTGGAAACAACTCGCTTTCACTTTTCAGTCCAAAATGTGCTTTTGTTTTTCATGGCTTCCAAAAACAATAAATAGCCTTTTAATCTGGTTTTGTATCATTCAGAAATGAAGATATTTTCTAATCTATGAATCCTTGTAAGAGCTGGATTCTATAAAAGTTGCTACTTTGTGTCTTTCTGTTGTGAAGCTTTGATTTTCTCCTGTTTTTACTCATTTGGCCATCATTTCAGGAAAATGTCAAGGATTATAAATCTAGTGTTTCTTGGTCACAGCAGATTTGACTGTGGTTTCCATTTGTCTGCAGTTTTGGGAATATGATTCACAAGGAGAAGCAAGAATCGGTTAGTAAAGAAGATCTGGCAAGAGCTACTTTAGTTACCATCACCAATAACATTGGTTCTGTGGCGCGGATGTGTGCTGTTAATGAGGTAAAACCGTTAATTCTATGATGACCATGAATGGGGGGTTTGGGTACATTACTCAACTTTTCGTGTTAAGGATTAGGCTCTCTCATTCTATTAAGTCCTGTTGCTAATATGGACAGTTATCTTTAAAGAAAGGAAACAATTCAGATTGCAAATGGGGCAGATATATTCATTGGCAAGCCTTTCTAAGAATAAGGCCTTTTGAGAACATCTTGCTCAGTTTCCTCTTTGCCTGAGTGTTTTTGATTAGTGAAATGCTTGGAATTTTTCTTACTGCCTTCGGCTTCTTTACAGTGCTGCCTTGTTGCATATGGATCAAGCAGCATTGTACAGGGCTATGAAGGCACTGAGAAGTGTTCTTCACAAGAAGTGATGTTTTCTTTGAGAACGGTGAATAGCTTATACTGCAAGATATACCACATAGTTATTTTTCAGTTTCATAAGAAATATGTAGGCATTTGATGTAATAAATATATAATTCATATATTTATGACTATGTGTTTGTAAATTATGCATAAACATTTTAAATGTGGAGGGAAAAGTGTATTTCCCAGTGTACTGCCATTTGGAGCCTTCGGTGGGGCTGCTCTACTGTCTCCTGTTCAGGTCTGAGCTGGAACTGACCAGAGCAGTGGGTTTGGTTGGGTGTACCAGGCACATGGGCTATACAGTTGAAGAAAACAAAGATCTCTGACATTATAAAGATGTCAGTTGTTAGCATATCACTATTGCTAGCATGTTATTTTTGTAAAGGATCAAACATGCCGTGGTAATAGGGTGATTAAGAGTATGGCTCATTAAAGATCAAAGGAGGGGTGAGAGTCACAAACAACACATATTTGTGGAAAATGAGAAAAAGTTCTGAGTTGCTTATGCTTACATGTAGAATTTTAGCGTTAACAGCATAGTATATTGGTTGACAGTGCTACTTTGCAGGGCTGTTGGTTTTATAGAAGTCACAACGTATATATGTGTGTATATATATATATATATATATTTTTTTTTACTTAGAATCTTTCTATATTCAACATGAGTGAGCAATATGCCAGAAAGATAGAAGTCATATTAATAAATTGTAGTCATTATTGATAGTAAGTAAATATTTTTGTAAACTCAACTATAATGTAAAAATCTTACTCTTTTTATATATTACTTGATTTGTTTTCTTTTAGAAAATAAACAGAGTTGTCTTCGTTGGAAACTTTTTACGTGTCAATACGCTCTCAATGAAACTTTTGGCATATGCACTGGATTATTGGTCAAAGGGTCAATTGAAAGCATTGTTTCTAGAACATGAGGTATGATGGGAATTTACTAACAGTATATTTTGCATTGAATTTATCACTTAAACTTATTTTTATAAGTGAAATTTAAAACTATGGACGGTTTACCTAAAGAGTGTATTCGCTTTCTCATTTCATTCAGGAGTTGCTGGGGTGGTGGTATTGTATTCTTGTTAATACCCCACTAAGATAAAATTTTTATAGCTTTTATCCCACGCAAAACCCAGTGACACAGTGAATTTAAGTCTTCACACTGCTCCCAGAAGTGTATTTACTAAAGGGGAGACAGATATAAGTGATATGGTTCTGGAAGCTTAGTGTCTAAAAGCTTCACCGAGTGCTAATTTCAAACTCTATATTGAGAATACAGCTCCTTCCCCGCCCCCGCTCCCCAAAAGATGTTTAAATTAGAAAAGTAATAGAATATTCTTGAACAAATGCATAATAAGTGGGTGTCTTTATAGTCGTTGATATTGTATGCCAGGTTAAAGGCTGCACTATATTTAATGCTTGTTTTTGTACAGGGCTACTTTGGAGCAGTTGGTGCACTTCTTGGGCTGCCAAATTTCAGCTAGAACATCAGATTTTTTAAGCTAATGCCATGTAAGAGGAACTGAAAATCCAAGGCATTGTTCCTGCATTGTCTGTCACTGGAAGCCAAATGATAGCGATCCCGTTGATTTTCAAAGCTGTCATCAGCCAGCTGCTGGATGTTGCCATAATGAGAACTGTGAAGTATTTCTAATCAAAGTGCTTTCTCCTGTATATAGGCACTGTTCCCTCCTTCCTGCAACGCAGCCGTGGATGGTGGAGCTTCCGCTCCACATTTTCTTACTGTAGGCAACATTGCAGTACTATGCTTAAACAAAATCTCCAAATCTCAAATGTTTTGCTTAAGAAAAGAGCAGGTTTTGAATACTTGCTATGACTGTTTTATGTGTGTTCTATTTACTGGTGAACAGTAATATAATCAGAAATTATTCAAAGGTAATCAAATTGTGTAATTTTAAAAATGTTGAGCCATTACTCATTATTTTTCCCCATTTTCCCTCCCTAAAGTCATAGTTACATGCTCTTTTCCCAGACATATAATCCCAAAGGCCATAATATAATTGACATTATTACATTTCAGCCTGAATTGAAAATGAATTCTAGAAATGCATCTATTTTGACATAGCACTTTCTGTATTCTATTAGTTATAGCTAATCAATACACTTTAAAATGTTATTTAGAATTTGGAGATTTTAATTACTTGCTTGAGTATTTAATTGGCTCTAGGACTATTGTAATGTGGCTTGAATGAATCTGTAGGATCAATTTTTGTTTCCATATCATCCCAAACTTAGTCATTCCTATTTATTAGGGCTCAACCATTACATCTAAAGACTTGTATTATGAACTATATCAACGGAATCCTCTTTGTTCTCAAAGAATAGTACAGAAAATGCTTTGCTTTGATACTTAGTGAGAATTATGAAAGGATCAGAGTTTCGTGCACTCTGGTAATAGAAGCGTTACCATTTGAAAGTTTGTAAATCTACTTGACTTGTAAAGTAAGCTCTTTTTCCTTAGCCAGTCTATTTGACGGCCAGTGGGTTGTTCTGGTCTATTACAATTTTAGGAAGAAGGACTTTGAAAAGAATTGCTCCCATAAATTACCATTAAATCTGGGTGTGCTTTAAGATATTTTTAATAGTTTACATGAGGAAAGGAATATTGTGTTGTGTTTTACAGGTCACAGTTTGCTCATGCTCTGTTAGTGGAGAGAAATTTCTAGCAGAGAAATTGTAGAAAAATGCTCTATAAAAACATATTTCCATGTACTTTTTAAAAATTGTGCTCAAATACTTTTCCTGTCTAAAAACATGAACATACAGATAATAGATGTTTAGAGGGAGAAGTATACAGAGTTAATTTTTAGAATTTAGAATATTTGGAACTTTAGATTCACATTAGAGGCCAATTTAAAAACCTAGTTACTTAACACTCATTTCAATGTTTTACAGCCTATTTTATGCTAACATCTAGATGCTTCAGTCAGAATGTTGTTGGTTCAAAGAACACTTGATCTGGGCTTCTGTGCAAATAGAAGATACTGCTTCCAGACTCACTACGTAGCAGCTTACCAGCTATAAATTTCAGACAGACTTTAGAAAGAGAAGGAATGGTCAGTATTTAATTCCAGATCAGAATGAGGCTATGATTCCGACATTGAAACTACCTGCAAATATATAAAGTGACCAATCCAAGCACTGTTGCTCTTATCTTTTTCCTTGTGTAGTTCACAACATCTAGAATAAGTAAGCACACGGTTACACTGGCGGCTGCCAAGATTGTACATGTTAATTCTAATCTCAAGAGATCCTCACTGATAGAGAACAGGGCAGATAAGTTGGGCTTTTAACATAAGCCAGTGTAAAGCTTCAACTTGTTCTTTATAGCCTTGTCAATTTAAACTTTCTTGTAGGCATATTATGGAAATAAACATGAAATATATTTTGACATAATACTTTATTCAACTAATAGTAAATGTAAGCATTAAGGAATTTTTTCCTTTTGTATTCTCTGAGGAAGTGATTCACACATACAGTGACATGGCAGTTGAGGAACCACACTTTTTAAGTGTTCACATACAAATGCAGCCGTGTGGGTGAAGACTTGTGTTGGATGGCATCATTCTGGAACCAGCTCTTAAAATCTAGTACTGCTGTGTACCCATGAATACTTTTGGGGTATCTTTAAAGAAAAAAACTTGGGAACCGTATGTTTAAGGATGTTAAAAGAAATGGTCATTTAGGGGCTGTATAGGGTGCTTCCAAGAACCCCCCCCCCAAAAAAAAAAAAAAAAACGATTTGGAGTCCTCTCATTTCTGACCGTGGTTGGGCAGTGAAATTACTCAAGACAACCTGATAGTGCCCCCCAAATCTCCACATGTGTAGTTTCTTAACTGATGGGAACTTCAGGGCCCGGGTGGCCTGTCGTGGGCTGGCGCCTGGCCTGCTAGCCATGAAGTCAGCGGCTCAAGACCACCATCTGCTCTGCAAGGTGGACGAGGCTCTCTTCTCCTGTAAAGAGGCCGCAGGGCAGTTGTACTGTTCTCTACAGTGCTCTCCGAGCCAGAGTTGACTCAGTTGCAGTGAGTTTGTGGAACTTTGTGTGCTTTAAATTCCCCATTGAGTTCTTTTATAAAGCTAATGTTTTGTAATTATATGCCCAGACAGTTTTCAGTCTATTTTAGTCTCTAAAGGTCGTATTTACTACTTGCCCATCCCTGCTCGGTTACTTGAATGTAAGTGGCTGGGAACCAGGGCACTGTCGTTACTTGAATCAAGAGGTTCAAGTTGTCAAGTCCATAAAGCCACCTTTTTTTTTTTTAGTCCAGCAAAGAAATTTGCTTTAGTACCTGAAAAAATTTAAGTGGAAATCAGAGTGTATAAATCATCTACCTTGTCTATTTATCTAGCTATCAATCATTTATATAAATGTACCCATCTTTTTTTTTTTTAATTATTTTATTGGGGGCTTATAGTTCTTAACACAATCCATGCATACATACATTGTGCCAAGCATATTTATACGTATGTCGTCATCATTTTCAAAACATTTTCTTCCCACTTGAGCCCCTAACGCCTTCTTAAGTACAGATAGGATAGCTGTACTGTGAGTGCCAGGTTGTGGCTAACAAAGTGCTGTTTCCTCTGTGCCCAGTGGTGCTCTTGCCTTTAAAGAATAGGCCCTCACAACTTGCCTTGACTCCAAGTTTGCACACATGGGTGGAAGACCTAGACAGGCAGTAGTGCACTCGTCATCAGAACCACTCAGCCACTCCGGTGGTTATACACAAAATCAGCTCTGTTCTGCAGTCCATGCTGTCCAGTCCAGTGGTGGTATCTGAACAAAATCCTGGAGGTTTTTTGCCTTTTGTAATGACCTTATTTAAGATGTTTTACTAAGAGTGTCAATTATGCCTTATTTCTCAATATGGATACTGATTAAGGTATTTATTTTTGACCTTTTAACTTTACCACAAAAGGAATTCAGTTAACTTTCTCTAGCTGTTTCACCCAAAGTCCTATCATCAGATGACCCTGAAAATAATATTCCTACCTATTTTCAATATTTCGGACACTCATCTTTTCTACTGAGCCCAGGAATAATCATTAAAGACCTAAGAGGACAGGGTACTCTTAGCTCCCTTGAAAGTATTTCCGTAGGCCATTTAACAATGGTGGCATGGAAAACAAAACATTCTCTTTTTGCCACTTCATAGGTTTGAGTAATTCTCACTTTCAGAAAGTCAGAATAGTTTTTCAAAAGCAGTGTTTGTTGTTCAGGACTTCCACCATGTGTTATACAGGGGAAATGGTATGATTGGGTGCTGTCTTAGAAATTGTGGCATTGCTGTTTTCATTGCTTCATGTGTGAAGTACGTGGACTAAGCCAAAACTCGGTGCTAGCTCTAAAATGCTGTTTCAGTGGGAGGTGACTCACAGTCACCCTGAGGAGAGTTCTTTCACGGTGGCGGTATTGGCAAGTAGACCGGCAACAGTTTTTGTGCACCTATTGGAGGACATATTTAGAGTTAATTTTCATGCTTGCGAGGGGGCTCCAAAAAGTTTGTGGAAAAATGTGAGGTCATAGAGTTTTCCCACCAACTTTTTGAAGCCCCCTTGTATGTATTGTTCTTATAATTGGCCCACAATTTTTACTTGAGTTTGTTAATACTAGATTTTGCACACACAATAAACCAATTCTCATGTCACCATCAAGTGGGTAAAGCTTGAGTAATATGAGGGTTTTTTGTTGGTGTGCTTTATAACTAGTCTATGAAGGTGTCTGAACTTTTTGTCTGACCCTATGATTATATGGGCATTATGATAACAAACTTTTAATTATACAAAAAACACTTTCCACTAAATTCATAGGTGTTTGTGGAAGTCAAATAATTGGGTATTGTTCATATCCCTTTTCTTCATGCCAGTTCTGGTTGCAGAGCACTGAGGATGAGAGACTGCCATAGAATTATTTGTTGCTAGTGCCGGCAACATTTAAAGCACAGCCACAGTGAAGTTCATTACCCTAGAGTACA